AGACAGCTTAACTGTTGTAAGTGATTTTATGTGGATGTAATACTTTTAATACATTATTGTGTTAGTAGATAAATTCATGTGACTGTGGGGTGTTTATGGTAAACAAGCCTGTATTGTGTAAATAGATATTTTGTCTTGATTTATTATAAACTTTAATATTGATTTTATTGTAGTAAGCAAGCTGATAATAACAATTCTGTATGTATTACTGGTTTCTAATAATATTTAATTATGCTGATATTATAGGTGTGGATTTATTTCCTAATGGTAATAAATGTACTAAAGGATTCTCTGACTATAGTTATTCTTAACTAGGTAGGAGGTACAGTATAAAATTAGTACTAAATGACAAGTGTGAGTTATTTATTATTTATTATATTATTTTACTCATATTTAGGAAGAAAGTTGTCATGGCGATAAAGTTTGTATGTGTGTTGTTTGTTCATGTTATATTGACTAGACAAGTTCAGACAGGGTTAAAATTAGTGAATCTTTATTGGATTTATATTTAATATACATATTTTGAATATTTATGGGAATAGAATGGAGATATACAAGTAGTAAAATATAATATTAGTATTTTATAAATTTAATTACTGAGTTATATGTTTATGTCGGACTGTATCCAAGGAGATATTATCCTATTAATATCAAGTTAGGACAATTACTTTAAATATTAATAAAGCAAACATTAACACTGATTATTCACTTCTTTAATAAATTTACATTAGAGGTTAGGAATCAAATAGATAGCATATTGGGAAATCTTCACCACACATGTATTTGAGGAATGTTCTTGATAATTAGTACTGTATGTATATATTATTGCAAGTACAATTGCAATAAGAATGTTAAACTTCTAATCTTCTGTTTATTCTTGAATTTGAAAGTAAGCTTGGCTACTGATATGAATATAAAACTGCATTACTGGATACTATTAATTATTTCTGGTGTAAACCATGATTATTTATGTCACTGATAATTTAGTTGTATATTACGGTTGATATATGATGATTTTATATTTAATTATATTAAACAAATACAAATAAACTTGCTAGTATTTGTTACGTTGACAGTTGTGATAGATAATCAAAATTCAATTCAATACATCAATACGTCATTCAATACGTCATTAATGTGACAGATGTCAAACAAAAGGAGATTATACACGTTATGATTCTATATCTAAGTCTATAGAAAATTTATATAATTTTCTTTATTTATAATAACTGTAGGGGAAATATTGGAATTATTTATATGAGAAATTTTACTTAAATGATATGATAATTATTTAAAGACCTAATTTCTTAGGGATTTAATCATGATGATTTAAACACTATTGTTTATCTGAGAAATCCTCTTAGTAAATAGGTTTACTAAGACACTAAAAGGAAGTAGATATAGTATAACTATAGTACAACTACAATAATTGTATGGGACTTACTGTCCTTTCTATACAAATATATATTTAATCTATGTCTTTTACATTATAATTATACAATATATTGCCTCTACTACTACAACATACACAAATAGGACTTATTGTCCTTCCTATATACCTATATATATAATAATTGACCTGGCACTTTATGTGTAATTTATCAGTACTTATGACAACAACCAATTAGGACTTATAGTCCTTTCTATAAAGCTACATAATTATTTAATCTGATTATTTCACTATGTGATTAATCAAACCTCTACAAATACTACAAAAGATCTCTATTCCTCTCAACACAATAATAGCTTGTTGGACTTAGTGTCCTCAAACTTATAGAAAACCCAACTGGTTATTTCACGAGACGTTGTTAACTTGTGATTAATCAGTGTCTTTTAAAGGACTTATAGTTCCTTTAGATATATCTCTCTGAATAAATAATTGGTTAATTCACAATGTGGTTAATCAACAATAATATTATATATAATTGACTGGACTTATAGTTCATTCAATAGCACTCATTACTTTTAGTAGCTCTCGACCTATGGGTTGGACTACTCGTTCTTAGGCTCCGGCCTAATCAACAGATTTAACTTGAACCTTGAGTATTCTTGGTATTAAGTAAATAATATTAAATTGACAATGCTATGTTATGATATAGCAATTATCAACATTATATGGCTTGGCCAATTCCAGGGTGTGGAAGGTATCCCCTATCACACAAATCTTCATCTCTATCGGATTGTCTTCACAGGTGATCTCTAATGTCACATTATAGGGCCGAAGGGTTATGTCCCAACAAAGTAAGTTCTGGTGTCTGGGTGATCTCGCTTCTTGGTCTGATCTCTTGTGGATCCGAATGGAAACCCCCATTGAGTAAGCTCGTAACAGGGTGACGCTGGGAAACAGTTTCGTACTGTTAGTGGGTGATCTCTATGTCGCCATATAGAACTGAAAGGGTCATCACCCATGAGTAAGCTCTCGTGTCGGAGTGATCCTGGGATTTCAGTTCCGATCCGTTTGGGCAAACACTAATTTATACTGGAAGCATTGGGGCTGGTGGAGCCACTGTAATGTTCAAGTAAATGTACTTATGTTTGGTTTGGAACTGAGAATACTCATTCCCTTATTACCATCAGAGTGCATTAATAAATAGTAATACCCTTCCCTACCTTTTAGTTATAGATAGTTGGAAAGTCTTCCACTGGTCCGGGCGTGTGAGGGGCCCGACCGCTTTTTTTTTATTATTACAGTTATTCTGTAATTTACTATTAAATTAATATATTATATTCTAACTTCCTAGTTACATGAATTATGAGTATAATTCATTAATTATTCTTAATCCTTAAATATTTATCAATCATCTTCATTATTTAACTCCTGTCATATACCAATTAAAGAACCTTTTGGTTATTACACACACAACGGGTCCTACATTACTAGACGATCACACATTTATTTATCTGGCCAAATGATCAAGTGTTCTGCTATAAGATCTGTTTAATATTATGTGTTTATTGTAAGGTTTTTTAAGATTCATAAGATGTTTAGGGTGTATAAGGTAATATAGGTATGGGCTATATTGAGGGTGTTAGGCCTTTCTTTAGGGTAGATTTTCATTATATTTTCATAGATTTCATTAGGTAAAGCCTTCGTAGGCTTTTCTTAGGCTTTGTAGGTTTTCCATGTGTAGGTTAGTTTAGAGGGTAGTTATTATATAAGGGGTGACACATAGGGAAAGGGGGGGGACCATCACAAACCATTTCAAGTTAAGTCAGTCTATCAAATCCGTACACTATCAATAGTTAGGCTGAATTCTTGAGGTCTTAAATATTTTACGCAAAAACAGGCTGGAGTTCTTTTTGGGGAAATTGAGCTAAGAATTTACTCAAGTGTAACCTAAAAAGCGTGCATGTCTTAAAACCGAAAATTGTAAACAGGTTAAAATTTTTTATCAATTTTGTTTCAATAAAAATATATCGTCAAACTATTAAAAATTAAACCTAAATTTGTTGCTTGAATCCTACACAGACAAGATCACTAAAGACGGCTAGTAGAAAACAACCGCGAATAAAAATAGATTTTACCAATATTGTAACGTAATTTGCTTCCGATCCTTTGGAGAAAGAGAAACACAAAATGCAAGTCAGCACAAAAGGATACAATTACTGTGGGTATTATTCATAAAACGTAAAACATTTTCTTACTTTCTTTCAAATCGTGGGTTTAATTCGGAGGAAAGAGATGGAATATTAATATCGAACTCTCATAATGGTAAAGAGAAATAAGAAAAAGAAAATATATTTATGGTTTACTTGGGTCATCATACATATTACAGCGAGTAGGGTGTATACCCACCAGAGTCAAGCATTACATCAGTGAATAACTTAAGATGTAACATGTCATGTAATTTTCCATTTGTTACATTACTCACCCTTCTCACGAGAACGTCATATTCCTCGGGTTTCTGACTATCTCTACATCAAACTTCATTTACATAAAATTGGCTATAAAGTCCTCCCTAAACGATCAAGCATGCTTGTCAAGCATGTAAATCTTTCGCCTGAAAAGGGATTGCAGTCCCAAGTGTGAGTTTAACATAGATTTACGTTACTACTGTGTTTGCGTTAACGTCGAATAATTTGTATTGAAAAGTTGGTTGGGTCCCTAGTGGATATTTCGGAAACTGTGAATTAGATACAAACCCATCGATGTAAATGTGAGCGCAGTTTTAACGTAATTCTTTATACAACTCGTATCAGCCTCTGTGTACTGTGGCTGGCTTTGTTTAAGTTTATGTATGGGCACAGATAATATAATACTATATGTAGAATGTGTGTTTTTGTTCTAATTGTGTTTTTGGCTTTAAAAAACTGTATTAAATAGCTATAATTTAAGTTCAATTTTAGGATATCGTAGTGAAAATGCCTTATTATGGTCTCGGCATAGAATGGGCCACTCCTTCCTTTCCTGTAGGTGTCATAAGAGGTGACTAAGGGAACTTAATAGTCGAAGGATAGGCAGCAGCGTCCCTTTTAATACTAATTGTAGTTGACATGACATGACGTAGCGAAATTAGTGCGTATAGCGGCTACCTAAGTCTTTAGGAATAGCAAAAATAAGAGTAAAGGAGTACGATGGAAGTTACAGTGTATTCTGTGATATCCATGGTGTGGTCTGTTCATGACTGTAGGTGATATTTACAACTTTGAATCTGGTGAGCCATTAACTTCTTTGCAATTCCTAGTCGATCGATATCGAGTCGTCTATCTATACGATGCAAATATCTACCGTATTTACTTTATTATTTTTGTAATTGGTACAATAAACTGAAAAATATATGTATATTCTGAACTGATTTTGATAATTATTTTTTAAATTGTCTGTTTAAACTTTTTCTTTGAACTCAGCTGAATGAAAAATCATCCATAAAAAACAAAACCTTTAACTGACATCTTTTTTGAAAATGATTTCTTATTTACCTACTGATGTTTTGTTATTCGATCGATCGTACTAGTATATACAGTTGTAAATAGGTTTTACGACATTGTTTTTCTTTCAGTGGTTTGGTGCTGTGATGAGGAGTATCGACTAATTCGACACCTGATGCAGAAGTACGACGCGTCCGTCCGTCCTGTTGAGAATTCGTCACATCCACTATTGGTCACTTTCGGCGTCTCATTGCACCATATTATTGATGTTGTAAGTAACTTGTAATATTTCTACATATTTCTATTTGTTCATTTTTGAAATACTAGTGGCTCGCTCCGACTTCGCATGGTTTCTTTGAAAATAAAATATAACCTGTATTACTCGCTAATAATGTAGCAATAGATAAAAAAAAATTAAAATTGAGAGATTGAAATTATATTTTTAAAAGTAGTTTTAGATAAATTGAAAAACTACTGTTAAAAAGTATATTACGAACAAACATAAAAATAATTAAACTGTTCCTTTTATTAGTTTATAAAATCTAGTATCTAATATGTCGAAAAATAAATAAAATTCCTATAATCTAACATACTATTGTTACACTTATTACTGTCAATAAATATGAGGTTGGTGCCTTTTGATTCAATAATATTTAAGTGTCCCTTTTGTATATACTTCTAAAATAGGTAATATAATACTTTATTAGTAAGTTATTGAAACAACGAATTACCGCTTTGCGTATCTTACAAAGTATGACGCATTTTTAAGGTTTAGGTTAGGAATCGATCATGTGATCTTCAATCCCGATAACCTATTAGGTACCACTTATATACCTATTCAAAAAGAAACTTAGATTTATATAATGTCACAACCTTTTAATAACGCTACAACGATTGTACTTCTGCGGTAGGTATTGATAAATTAAATTTAATTATTTTGTGGTCTATTAGGTAATAATAAATATTCTAAAATAACCAATATTCGAAATTCTACTACAATCCAAAATAAAGCAATCAGGAAATTTCTCCGAAAACTTTACGTACCTATACCTATTCGATATTCAAATTTTATTTCACTGGCTTCTTGAATTTGTGATTGGTTGAAATAACTCAATTTTTTTTATGCTACGGCAGAGATAAAAGACATAACAAATTATTAATAAACTTATTTTAATTCTATATTTAAGTATACTGATAATAATGTGCTAAATAATAAAAACAGAGTACTTTATCATCATGTTTACTACTACAATTTATCATGAAACCGGTTTTTTTAATGAAACGATTTTTTTTTTAATTTTTATACAAAATCACTATGCGGAATTTTTTATCTCTAGGCATAGCAATTTTAATATGTTATTTTAATATGTACAATAATTTAGTTTTTTGTTTTATACGGCAATATATTCATACAACAACGTCAATGCCTAATGCACTAATTGCACATTCAGAATATATATACTATACTATTCTAATATAAATAAAAAATATTACAAGTAGATATGTGTTATAATTATGTGAGTCTACAGAACGATTTGTAAATGCGTAAAATTTTTTATTGATCTTCATCTCTCCGGAATTAGGTAGTGATTATAGGAACGAATTTGAGGCGCTATTTCTCTAAACTTATTTCTCAACCTTATATTTTATTACTGTTTAATATAAAATTATAAACTATATTTATAATAATTTTGACTTAAATTTATTAGAAACTTAGTTAATATTGGTATATATAATAAAAATTTGGCTGTTATATTAAATTTTAATTTTAAAGATGTTTTAACAATGTCATAAACATTAATACAATACAAATAAACTCACAAAATTAACAGTAATCTTTCAATACACCATGGATGAATATTTTTTTTTAATTTACCATAAATAATTTAAATGTTGCATATTGTAACGCGAGAATATTTAATTTATCTGAGACCATTAAACAAATCTAATAATACTATTCACATTCCTGAGGACTCAGGTGTTATTCCTCTGTACCCTGTAAATTCACGCCATATCCCACCCTTCAAACCGAAACACAGTCATGCAAACACAACTGCTTCACGGTTGAAACACGAATGACAGACAAGCAATCGACTTTTGTACAAAGTCTCCCTCTGGTATTTTTATTTATCTGAGACCATTAAACAAATCTAATAATACTATTCACAAAAAGTGAACAGGAAATTCCAAATGAGACAATAAATTATTTCTTACCGCATCATCAGAATTGATTACTAAATGTACAAAAATAATACAAAACTTGTAAATTTAGAATAAGTATTTAAACAAATATTTTCAAATGTATTTCAATTTCAAAATATACGGCAGGATTTTTACGGTTCCATAGGCAAATATACAATAAAGAATCATAGACTAAACTAATAGTCTTTTATGATTATAGCAAATAACATAAGATTCCCCATCGTATAAGTTTATGTCATTTGCTATTATTGTATGGTCTGACAGTGCGTTATTATAGATCAATACGTGCCACTATATGGCCGTCGCAACTGACGTTTATATAGTGGCACGTAGTACGATATTATGCAAATCTCATCATCAACTTTCTCGTACACGTACTAAGAGATTCTCATAATCATCTCTAAAGATACAAAACCACAATCTATATGCGAAGGATCTAAGTCCAATCTTTATAAAACTTATAGGAAATGTAGGGTACATCCGTATAGTTAGGTATAATTTAAGATTGTATTCCACAAAAAAGACTTTAATGGTATCAAAACCAGTTATTTTGATTTAAAAACTAAATTCTATTATGTCCATGGCACTGCTCATGTCTATAGACGACGGTTACCAATTTCTATCAGGTGGGCCGTCAGCTTGTTTACCATTCTAAGTAGCATAAAAAATAAAAAAAATAAACTGCAATCTGATTTTTATATCGAACCAATGCGAAAGTTTTTTTTTTTTGATGATAAGAAATTACCAAATCAGTTTAAAACTGAAAGAGTTATGTAACTATCTATCTATTATTAACCCAGATGTCCAACTGCTGGATAAAGGCTCCATCTCTTTCAAAACCTCCTATTCCGAGTTGAAGTAACAAATATTAAAATTGCAAACGAATTTGGAACATGCTCCTTTTTTGGAATTTGAAAGTACTAGTAGGTACATATTGCGATTAATTATCCGCTTATGTCACAATTTTATTTTTTTTAAAACATAAAAATACTTAATAAATAATAAATGTGATACATTTCACAAGAACCAACAATATTGGTTTCCAAGGAAAACCGTGAGGAGATAGATCTAACAGGATATTTTGCTAGCAATGTAGTCGTTAGACTTCATTTTTAACAATCCCTTTCCCCCTTCATGTCAATAGTCATGGCAGTCAATCATCATTGTAATGAATATACCGAAATAATTTTTGAAACTACATGATCACGTGTTCGATTTACTATGTATGTAAGGTTCATTGTATTTCATTTCAGTGTACCCATTACGGTTCAATCTGTAGGTATATATTTTTACTACTCCACATTTGTACATCTGTACACATTTTTAACGACGAATTCAAATGGATGTTAATTGATTAGGTCCTCTTTCTACGTGCGCCGTAACTGAAACTTTGCAACGTTTTAATACTGTTTACATCTTGTTACACTAAAATAAATGAGCACTAAAATATTAAACCTTATATGTACAAGGATGGTTTAAATTTTGTAAACTTAATTCTGTTCATGTTAATAGGCAACGGTTACCGCTTTCCATTAGGTGACCGTCAAGTTGTTTGCCATTCTATGTTGCATAAAAAAAACTTTGTATCAGGAAGATTTTTTTTTCTCCTGTGATTATACCTAGTCTACTTACCTACCTACTTGAAACTGGCTATAGTCTTTAATCTAAGTGTTTAAATAAAAAATGAAATATTCTATCAATTAGTTAAGCATATCACTTGAAAATAGCTTTAATATTTTTTGAACAATATTTATGTAAATAGTTACCACATATCATTGTTATACTTATAAAAAAATATTATTTCTGATATTATAATATACAAAACAAAGATATTAAAAGAATGGAAAATATCTTTGCTGTCTATAGAAATTCCAAGAATTATGACAGTAAAATATATGCACAATATATAATGTAGATATTTGTTCATGTCAGTATTGGGACAGACGTATTATTTATTATGCATTTGCCGATGTTACCTATACCTTCACATATAGGTATCTAATTTCTACTCATGTACCATGTTAAATGTTTATCGGTCTCTCAAATAGCGGAGAAATGGATTTCAACAATTAATAATTAAACAGCGCGGTTCGGTAACAGATCAATGAGAAATTAGTAGATACATTTATTACATAATAATTTTAGACGATCCCAATCTAAGTACGAATAAGGGGAGTAATTTCTTGCTATGTAATTATCAAATGTGATCGATTAATTTAAAATTTGGTAGGTGTAATCTAGGAGTGATTTAAAAAAAAAATACTAATAAATATATAATATTTATTAACTTAAAACTTTTGGTTATTTCATTTTTTAATCCTATGTTTGCCATGAGACACTGATATAATATAATCTAAGTCAGACCTTGTGTTTTTAAAGAATTAACACTTGATCTCTAGATTAAGATAGAGCACTAAGGCCGCACTATTAGGAATTTCAGATGGCAATTACTCATTGTCTCTTTTTCTGCGAAATTGCGAATCTGGCCCAAGGCAATCGGTTTTTACCTTTTTCCTATAAATAGTTTCTTGTCACTTGATGTATTGAGTTACTACCTAGAATTCTATATATACGTAATTTTAATATACTCTTTAACACTAAATCTGTATTTACGCTATACTGCCTATTCGTAGTTTTCACAAATAGAAATACTAATGAAATAAACGACTTCTCGATGGTGTATTGATATAAAAGATATCGCCAGGAGTACGATAATGAAAACCTCATTCAATTTGATGCAGTAATTTTTGTGCGATACCAAAACAATCATACAGTCAAAAAGATAGATAGATGAAATTTCCAAAAATTTGTGTTTTGGCTTCTATTGTTCCTATATAAACCTTTCACATATTTTTTTCTTAAATATCTTTCATGCACAGGAATTTCGACTGTACTTTTATTGGGTGCTTAACTTAAATCATAACAATATTAATATATTACTTTAGTGACGTCATAAAAAAAGTAAAAAAGGAAAAAATAAATAATAATAAGCAATATGAAAGAAGTAAAGCTGCTACTGAATTCGAATAAAACTACTAAACGGATGAATTATTACAACACATTACAATA